CTTGACCCTCATTATTTAGCCATTCCATAAAATCATCTTCGTAAGCTTCAGTCAGCTCTTTTGAGTTTAGCTGAGCTTTGCACAATGCTTTTCTTAACACTGACCCCTGAGCTTGTGGTGGCCAAGATACTTGGTAAAACTGAAAATACTGAGCTATGTGAGATCCCAACTTTATTAGCTATTGCATCGATGGTATAGTCTGTTATTTGCCATTTGTTTCTGGATTTCACCCTGTTACTTGATCTAGATTATGGTTTTCCCTATCTTGGTTCATCTTTGAGGTTTTCTCCATCACCTTCCTTAAAAATCTTTGATCCATCTAAGAAACTTGTATGTATGATAGCATTCATGTAAACTGGTTGCAAAGCTTCAGCAAATTGGGAAGATGTCCACTTGAGATATTTTTTTGTATGTGAATTGAGTGAAGGTTTCCAGATAAGATCCATCAGTTCAGCAAACCATATAATTTTGTTCCATCTCAATGATTGTAATTCACTCCCTGAAACAACAATGATCTCACTTCCTCCCTGTATTTCTTATTTTCCATTCCCCTCACCTTTCTCTCCCTTCTCAACTTTGCCCTTAGGTAAATGTTCCCTTTTGGTTTTGAAAGATTGACCATTCCATGGGGAGTATACCTTACTCTCTAGTGTTGTTGTTCCCCTTGTATATAGATATACTATATACACTTTTGCTGAAAATTGGGCCATGAGAGTGAGTTCCTTTCCAGACCTGAAGGACGGTCTAGGCTGTGGTCTCTTTCTCATCAGTAAGCCCATTCTTTTTCTTTTTTTAATAATTTTAAGTTTTGTTCTACATTTTCTGCCACTGTATCCTGGAGATCTCATGTAATAATACTTTGAAAGCCGTGTCCACTGGAATTTTGTTAAAACATTGATCATTAGTCCTGACTTAAAAATCTTTTTTTTTTTTTTTTCATTTTGAAATAATGGACAAAAAGTATCCTCTTTGAAGATGAGACTAAGTATATTACTGAAAAGAACAAGGCTGCAGCCCATCTACCGATCTTAGCGTTAATACACGTTTTGCTTAGAATAAGCCCATGAATTATATGAACTGGAACCTTTATCACAGTACTTTTTGACTTTCTGTATAAATTTTGTCTGCTCTTCTGGAGGATAAGGAACTCTGGTAGTGTAGTGGTTATGAAGTGGGCTGGTAACCTCAAGGTCACCAGTTCGAAACTACCAGCTGTTCTGCGGGAGAAAGATGAGGCTTTCTTCTCCTGTAAAGATTTACAAGCCTCGGAAACCCTGTACAACGTGGCGGCTATGAGTCGGAACCAATTCCACGGCACTTAACAACATCAACAATTCTGGAGGATAGATAACAATGCATTGTGTATCAAATGAAGTCATGATTCTTTTTTTGTGAACTGAGTGATAGTTTACATGAGAGAACATCGACTTTACACCATCATTTCATTGCAATCATAACATCTCCATGCATCATCATTCAGTATTTGCTTCCATTCCCTCTGTTTGTTTGTTTGTTTTTTTTTGGGGGGGTGGGGGGAGATGTACACAAAAACACTCAGAAATATGTAATGTAATAATTTAAACAACCAAAGGGCACATTCTGCAAGCCTGCCTCCTGGCTGCCAGTACTCTTTCCATGAGTCTAGAGTCCTCAGCTGCTCCCTCTCTCCTTATCCTCATCTCTCATAGGCATGGTTCTTGTCATCAAGAGTGGTCACTTAGGAGATACATGTTAAATGAAATAGTGGGGCTAGTTAAAAACTTCAGATGTCCTGTTCTTGTCAGTACTGTCGAGTAGGCAGCAACTCATAGTGTTTCCAAAGAGCAGGTTTGAATTGCCAGTCTTTTGGTTCGCAGTCCAGTGCAATAATGGACAAGTTGAAGAAGGCGTCTATTAAAAAGTGAACTTTTAAATTGAGTTCCAGAGAATGTGCAAGAGTTGCGTTTAACCAGTTTTTGGGAGAACCTATCAGACAATTGTAAAATTGCTGTAGTATAGTTCATAGTAATGCCAACTGTATTCAGGCATAATTTGCCCTGTATTAAAAAGACAATTACTAATTTGATACAAACTAGAATCATACTTGAATTTCTTTGAAGATTTTATTTTTTTCATTTATCATTCCTGCAAATACAACTGAATGTGGTGGTACATACAGTGGGTATAATGATGAAAACTTACTAGCTGTTACCAAACAGCTTAAGTCAATGAGTAACCTTGGGGGTGCAGGACCATAGTCTCTGGGGACATCATGGTCAATTGGCACAACATAGTCCACAAAGACAGTGTTCTAAATCTTACTTTGGTGAGTGGTGTCTTGATATTGAAAGTTGGAATCAGCTAGTTTAACGAACTAATGGAACATATAAACATCAGTCTCCATGGATCTTGAGAACAGAAGAACTAAATGGTGCCCAGTTACCACTACCAATTGCTCTGAAAAGAGTTCACATGATTAGAAGGTCTTGGAGAGAGCAGCATAATGTGTGGAACAAAACTCAAAATTATTTTAAAAAGAAAGAACACCTGGACTTACTGGTCAGTTGGTGCTGTGGAATTATGCACTGGACTGCAATGTCAGTGTGAACCACAAGGTTGGCGGTTCAAACTTGCCAGACATTTCTTGGAAACCCTGTGATGTGGTGGTGGTGATGGTGTGCTGAAGAGTCGGTTCTGACTCATAGCGACCTTGTCTTGTACAGGGTTTCCGAGGCTGTAAATCTTTGTGGGAGCAGAAAGCCCTGTCTTTCTTCTGTGTAACAGCTGGTAGTTTGAAACTGCTGACCTTGAGGTTCGCAGCCTGATTCGTAACCAATACACTACACTACCAGAGTTCCTTTGGAAACCCTGTACAGGCAGGGCCACTATGAGTTGAAACCAACTCGACTGAATTTAACAGCAAAACACTGTCAGAGACAGAAACCTGAGACTGGCCCTTCCGATCTGGTAGGAACATACTCTTTCAGCCAAGCAGTAGATAGGTATATAGGGGGAGCAACTTTTTTCAAAGCAGTAGGTAAGTATAAGTATATAAAGGGAACAATACTATTAGTAAGGTTTGCTCACTATGAATGATAGAACAGTTAACCATTCAAAATCAAAGGGGCAACATGTACCTAAGGACAGTAGCAAGAAGGGATGGGAAGGTGGGTGGAAGGGAAAGAGCCATAGAAACTGGATTATTGTTCTAAGGTAGGAATGCAACCATTGATGAGAAACAAAGTGTATTTATTAAATGTAAAACTGATGATATTGTCTGTAAATCGTCACTTAATTAACAATAAAAAGCTTTTTTAAAAAATTGTGATTCTTCCCCCCCCCCCGTTTTTGAGTTGGTAATTCTTTATAATTGTTTATACTGGCTAATTAATACTCAAGTACTACTGTGCTGTAGGGTGATAAACACTGGACTGCTAACTGCAAGGCTGGTAGTTCAAACTCAAAAGGTGTTTCTCCTTAACAATTAATTACTACTGTGAATCAGCAGAAAAAAAATATAATTTTATTAGGAATTATTTAAAGCAAAAAGTATTTAAAATAGAGATAGTTAGAAAAAAATTCTTTAATATTTTCTAAATAGCAGGTTTTAGATCAGTAGTTACGTTAAGTGCTGTCCAATCAGTTTTGACTCATAGTGACCCTTCTCTGAGGAGCTACTGGTGGATTTGAACCACCATACCAGGACTTCTTTTGTGGATTCAAGTATTATAACTTGACTGGTGAGAGTAATAGCATTTTTTGAAAACTCTTGGAGCATAAGCATGTTAGTATGAGTAATCATGTCAACAGCATTTAAAGACAATTTTAATGTCATTTTCGTTTTGTTTTTCTAAAAGTCTCTAAGAAATGCTTATGAGAAAGAAGATAGAAAATGCTGTTCATTCCTCACAATAACTTTATTCAGGTCTGATAACCAAGAGCATTTTGACAATGTATAACATTTGTTAGGGAGGCAGGGAGAGCCAACAGTAATGTGTGATATATGAGGTACATTTTAAACAGAAAGGAAAGATATGCCTGGAATGGTTTGTAATCCAGAACTTTATGATGGTGGTGGTGTGCTGTGGATTCCGTTCCAACTCTTAGTGAGCCTGCATTAGGGTTTTGAGGCTATAAATCTTAATGTTAAGTGCCGTCGAGTCGGTTCCGAGGGTGTAAATCTTTACGGGAGTAGAAAGCCTCATCTTTCTCTCGCGGAGCGGCTGGTAGTTTCAAACCGCTGACCTTAAGGTTCGCAGCCCGATTCGTAACCACTACGCTACCATAGCTATCTTAATATAGGATGTTTATTTTAAAGATTTGTAGGTGCTTACACCTAACAAAGTGGTGGTTCAAGTGGTAGAATTATATTCATCTTCATTTCTCAGCCAGTGTACTTCCTGCATAGCCACCACGCGTTTGTCCATGAAGGCTTATGTTAAACTGTAATTCCATGCATACTAAGATGGACTAGGAAGCAGGCTTGACAATCTACCCAAAAATAGCCAGTAAAAATTGGATCACAACAGTTCATTTCACAATTAAGCATTTTCTGTCACAAGCACATGACCAGGCAGTATTTTGTTTAATTAAGCATGGGCAGCTAACAACGGGAATAAATCTAGTAGGTAGAAGATTCTGAGTTATGAAGCTGACTTTGATAAAACTAATACTATTAAAAATGAAATAAGTTTGCTCTAGGAGGTGTCAAGTAAAGTAAGCAAAAATTGACCACTTGTGCTTGTTTTGTAACAGAATTTACAAGATAGATTTTAAGAACCTAGCAATAACTTGATTGTGAGCAGTATCCTGGGTGTGACTAATGAGGTAGTCTTGTCTGTCTGTGTTCTTCGATTTATTTATTTTTATTTTTTCTGAATACTGTTGCTTTTCAAAGGGAGTATATATTCTTGGGATAGTTTTCAATAGCATGGCATTGTTGTAAAAAGTTTTGTCTTCAAATATTTTTATTGGTTTTAAATTTATGTGTAAGTTTTTAACATTGACATTTCTCTCCATAGATAATTTGGAGTTCTTACTAAACAACATGGCAGACATTGACAAGTAAGTGACAGATAGTTGGTTCTTCCCCTCCTTCCCCTGAGTAATTTAGCATCAGTTTGTGTTGTGATGTAGTTAATAGCTGCATAATTCTGTATTTGAAAATTATGGTTGTGATTAATGATTATTACTGTAATAAAAATTGGGTACTGTATATCCAGGATAAAATACCGTATAATCACTGTCGATATGTTAAATGATTTATCAGTGTTTATTCTTAGCAAAGTGCTGAGCATATAATGGGTCATAAATACTTGAAATTTTTTTACCATTTATTTCTCCAAGATTTTTGGTAAGTATAAGTGTGTGCAATAATGTATACATACAGTTTAAAGAATAATAAAAGTTGTGTACAAGTGAAAAAAAAAGTATTACTATTTCTTGTTTCCCCTATTGCTGCATCTTCTACTTTTCCCGCAGGTGTTATCCCTACCTTGACTTTTATCTGATTCTGTTTTGCTTTTCTGTAGCGTTTAACCACCTGTGAATTCTTAATGTTTACTTTTGAAAATCTGAATAGCAATCACAAACTAAACTGTGGAAAGAAAAAGGCAGTTTTATAGTACTTTTAGTTGAATACTCCAAAGGTGAGATTAAAAGATAGTATGTGGATCAGCTTTCTTGAGGCTTTACAAGGGCCTCTTTGAAGAAGTCGTTGGTCAAGGTCATGCATTCTGGGAAATTCAGATTTCACCAACTTGGAATATAGAATAGTTTTAGTTTGAATGTCTTGCAGAATGTTGTTGTTGTGAAGTGCCGTCGAGTTGGTTCCAACCCATAGCGACCCTGTATAGGGTTTCTGAGGAGCAGCTGGTGAACTTGAACCGCCGACCTTGCAGTTCAAACGATTTTGCAGTCTGGTGCATTAACCCGTAGTGCCCCACCAGGACTCCGTCTTGTAGACTATGATAAAGAAAATAGGATGAGTTGATAGTAGGTTAAGTAGAACAGTTAGACATGGTAGTGGTGATTGTATGACATGGTAGTGGTGGTTGTATGACATGGTAGTGGTGGTTGTATGACATGGTAGTGGTGGTTGTATGCCCTGAAGATTGTATTTCAGACTCATGTTGTTACTTGATGTGGAGTCAATTCCAACTCATAGCAAAACCTATATAGGGGTTTCAAGGAGCGGCTGATGAGTTTGAACTTACCAACCTTAAAAGTCCAGTGCCACACCAGGGCAGGAGCAGATAGCCCTTGGTGATATTATACAGCTTTTTAAAATAAAACATTTGAAAGAAAAGACTGCAAGGCATGGGAGTGAGAGGGCAGGAAATTTCTTTATTATAAAAAGGAGCTCTGGTAGCGTAGTGGTTACAAATTGGGCTGTAAACCGCAAGGTCAGCAGTTGAAACTACCAATGCTCCGCGGGAGAAAGATGAGGCTTTCTACTCCCGTAAAGATTTACACCCTCGGAAACCCTGTACAGGGTCGCTATGAGTCGGAACCGACTCCACGGCACATAACAACAACAACAACAAAGGTCAACCCACCCACATATGCTGGTTTCCTTATCAACAGAAAAGTACCAGACATTTTTGTGTTACTGACTTTCAGAGTCTTTGTTTCCTGCTAGACCTTAGTCATCATGATGCAGCTGTCATCATGGGATGTACTTTACTGACTGCCTGGGGTTTAATTTTTATTCTATCAAGGTCTGGGGCTCAAGCTCACCAGCTGCTCCTTGGAAACCCTATAAAAAGGTCACTATGGGTGGGAATCGACTCCATGGCACTTAGCAACATCTTAGGTTTACGTTAGTTACCCTTTTTTTTTTTCATTGAAGAAGTTTGAAAGCATTGTCAAATTGTTTCTAGTGTTGCTGTTTTAAAAAGTTGATTCATAATCATTTGTGGCAGTTTTTTAGAAATTTATACATATACTTTTAGACTCTGACTTCATAAGAGTTCTGAAATTTTCACACTGATATATTTTTATTCCTTTTTTTAAAAGACATTCAGTGGTGAACTTATTTCTGGCAACTCTTAAGGTGCTCTGGTTGCGTAGCGGTTACGAATTGGGCTGCGAGCCTCAAGGTCAGCAGTTCGAAACTACCAGCTGTTCCGTGGGAAAAATGAGACTTTCTGCTCCCGTAAAGATTTACAGTCTCGGAAACGCTGTACAGGGTCGCTATGAGTCGGAACCGACTACTGCACAAAACAACAACTCACTACTTCAGTTCTTGGGAATATGCTTAATTCTTATTGATTGCATTATTCTGTTTACTTTTTTTGTACCTCCCTTTTGTCAAATGTTTTATATTGAACTGGTGTTGTAGGTATCTTGTCTTTTTGTGCTTTGGGAAAAAAGGAAGAAAAACCCTTGTCTTTCAATTATTAAGTTTTAAGTTTTCCATCAGGAGCTTCTTTGCTGTCTGAATGTATGTCTTTTGTATAAAAACATCCTGTTCTTGTCTCATTGGTGTAATATCTTTTTTCTGGACATTTCTTTCACCTGTGTAGCTTAATTCTTATTTTTATTGCCCTCTATTTTGATCTCAGTATAAGATGCCCTCCAAAATGTGAAGCTCATTAAGATTGGCTGGTTGTAGGACAGTTGTTGAGAGTTTAAGAAAAAGCTTAATTGAAATTTTTGAGTGCTTGGGTTGAGGGAGAACTTGTCAGATTGGGAATTTCCTGTATGTAGTTATTAGACACTTAAGAAAAAAATTGCTAGTATCAGTTTCATTCTGGGCTGGTCAGATTCTCCAATGAAGAGATTTTCTGGGAGAAGGCTCTCTGGGCGAGGGTTTCGGCATTCTAACACATATATGTTGTTGTTAAGTGTTGTTGAGTTGGTTCTGATTTACAGTGACCCTGTATAGGGTTGCCCAAGGAGTGTGGTACAGTGCTTTATCCCACAGTGCCACACTAGGGCTCTCCCCAGCCATATATCTTAGGTATTGTTTTACTGTGTGTATGGTCCTCTAGTCCAAGTTCTCAGTTTTACTTTCTCCAGAGACACTGTCATACATGCAAGAATGAGGGAAGGGGAAATCTCAGGATTTAATGGCTTATCAATTTTTACTTGTTATTATGTGGCATCGAGCTGATTTCCAACTCTTTGGGGCCCTGTACAGGACTTCCAAGGAGTAGCTGTTGAGATTTTGGAGTGCTGACCTTGTGGTTTGAAGTTTAGTGATATTTCTATAGTACCAAACTGGAACTTCCCTAATTTAATCACCATCGTTCCCTAGTATATTTGATGCTGCCAGTTCTTGTCGTTTTAAAGATTCTGTATGTGCTGTGGGTTAATATGCTGGACTACAAAATTGGTTTGAACTGAGAGGTCGGTGGTTCAAGCTCACTAGTTGCTACTTGGAAACCGTATACAAGGTCGTAATGGGTCGGAACTTACTCAATAGCACTTACTAACAACTATAACAACATTTGGGACTGGTTCTCAGCTTTCCCTGCTGCTGCTCCCTTAGAGTGTAACTCTTAGTGAAGTTTGTTAACTACTTATATGTTTTTCAGTTTCCAGAATTATGCTACTTTTGACTCCTTGTTCTTAAGTGTTTCTGTTCATTTTTGAATCTCTTCATTACAAATTTAGGTGGGGCTTTTGAAAAATTAAAATTTATGAAGGAGCTTCAAGAAAAAGTTAATGAAACAATTCCATTTCCCATAAACTTTTTGAAGCCCCTCCTACAATCTTGCCATCATAACCTGGAAGTCTCATTTCCCACTTTATTAAAAAACTAAAACCAAAACTGGTTGTGACAAATTGATCCCCTGTGTCCCCTCCCCAATTTAATTTGAATGTCAAGATCTCTTTTACTGTAGGGCAGGATTCTGTAAACTTTCTCCATCGGACACATAATTATATTTTGGCCAATGTAGTTTGCTGAAAGTGAAGAGGACTTGAAACATTTACTTACAAAGATCAAAGAGCACAGCCTTCGATATGGATTACATCTCAATGTCAAGAAAACAAAAATCCTCACCACTGGACCAATAAACAACATTCTTATCAACGGAGAAAAGATTGAAGTTGTCAAGGACTTCATTCTTCTTGGATCAACTATCAACACTTGTGGAAGCAGCAGTCAAGAGATCAGACAACGTATTGCATTGGGCAAATCTGCTGCACAGGACCTTTTTAAAGTGTTGAAGAGCAGAGATGTCAGCTTGAGGACTAAGGTGCGCCTGACCCAAGCCATGGTGTTTTCAGTAGCCTCATATGGATGCGAAAGCTGGACAGTGAATAAGGAAGATCGTAGAAGAATTGATGCCTTTGAGTTGTGGTGTTGGAGAATACTGAAAGTGCCGTGGACTGCCAAAAGAACCAATAGATCTGTTTTGGAAGAAGTGCAGCCAGAGTGCTCCTTGGAGGCCAGGATGGCTAAGCTTCGTCTCTCATACTTTGGATATATTGTCCGGAGGAAGCGGTCGCTGGAGAAGGATGTCATGCTGGGTAAGGTGGAGGGTCAGAGAAAAAGAGGAAGAGCCCTGAAGAGATGGATTGGCCAGGTGGCATCATTGATGGACTCAAGTGTGGCAGCGGTAGTGAGGTTGGCCCAGGATCAGACATTGTTTCGTTCTGCTGTGCATGGGGACGCTATGAGTCGGTTCCGACTCGATGGCACCTGACAACAACAACAAGTTTGTCACAACTATTCATTTCTGCTTTTGTAGTGCAGTATATAGTCAATTTCTGCTCAAGGTAACCCTGTATAGGGTGTCTGAGGGAGTGACTGGTGAGTTTGAACTGCTGACCTTACGATTCATATGCACTTGGTCCAGTATTTACCCTACAGCACCACATCATAATTGATGAAAAAATTCTATTATTGTTAATTTCATTTTTTCCCCCCCCATGAACCTTTAAGCTACCTCCTATACTTAAAGTTTATGCTAAGTCGAAGATAGTTCACAAATACTGTTTTCGAGGGGAAGACTGGATCTTTTTTCCTCAGCTGACAGGAAATTTTACTAACAGAATTTTTTCCCTCAGTTGACAGGGAATTTTACAAGCAGAATATAGTTATCCTTTTCTTTAGTAATCAATATTTGTCTTTACGTGAAAGTTAAATTTTCAAGTGCTGCTTGTATGAAGGCAGCTCTTTGTAATCCAGGTATTAAAATGAAAAGTTAGACAAGGAGTTACATGGTGGTCCTTTGTGTTGAGTTAGTTATCCTTATTTCATTTTTGTGTTAATTGTAATTTGCATTCAAAAGTTGGATTTTAATATGAAATGGAAAGTATGTCATCTATTACTTTTTACCTCCTCTCAATGGTGCCATTCCTGTCTTTGCTCTAAACATAAGTTGGAATTAAATCTTCGTAGCTTTTTACTACTTTTCTCCTTCTGCACTATGAAGTAAGGAAAGCATAAAAGTATTGAGTACTCTGGAATGGTTGCTCCACAACCATCAAGGATCTAGGTCTATTTTGTTTGTGTGTGTGTGTTTCCAAACTTCTGATAGTTTTTCATTCTCTAAGCTGTCTCATGGCTGTTAGGCATATTCAAATTGGGAGAGCAGGAGGAAGCTCCATCATTTACCTGGTTACCTTACCACCCTAGAAGAAGGCTTTGTCAGGGTACTATACTACTACTTTGGTCTCACCACCTAAAACTTAGTCATATAGCCTTATCTAGCTAAAAGGTTAGCTGGGAAATGTAGGCGTTTAGCTTGGTGTCTCTGCCCCCCAAAAATGAGAGTTGTGTTAGTTCCTAAGAAGTAAGAGGGGACTAAGTGTATATTGGGTAGGAAGCACACTCTTCCTGCTATCATAGTCCACAAAAATCAATCAAACCACGTATTCTAATGTTGAAGTATAAATATTATATTTGACCATATGCTTTTAAGTAGAAGTTTTAAGTATCTCCAATTTGTAAAGACTATATAGGAAGTTAGAAAGAAAACTGAATTTCCTGTTTTTCATCTTTGAGAAAGACTCATATTAATCTAGAATGTGAATTTTTTAAAGTTTTTCTGTATATATTTTTAATTATTGGTACATTTGAACCTTGGCGTGATACTTTGATATTGTAGCAAAGAACAGTCTGAACTTGATCAAGAGTTGGACGATGTTGAAGAAATAGAATTAGAAGAAGAAGAAACTGGTGAAGAAACAAAAATCAAAGGTATTATTTTAAATTACTTCAGGAGTCAGTGATTGCTGACACATATCCTAGAGGGTAGTAATTGCAATTCTCTTTGAACCCTTTCCACTTGACTCACTTGTTCCTACCTCAAGTTTAGTGACTGTGTGTATTTTTGTTTGTATGTATCATAGAGGTGGTAGTAAGGGATAAGGGTCTGAATATGGTATAATTCATGAAAAGTCATTATGTATGTGACATGGAATAGCTGGTCAAATCAGCTGCTCATGAGTTGTCTGGATTTCAAAATGTTAACTTTATGGGCTTGGGTTGTTTTAGGTGGTAACTGTAGATAAAGGAAAGACTATTTACTATGAAGGATCTAAAAAAAAGTTCATGGAAAAATTCTATTATCTTTTAATGTAATTTTCCCCCAAACTTTGAAGAACCCTTGTATATAGTAAATGGTTTTGTTTTGTTTCTTCCCCAATCTACTCTAGGAAAACAAAAAAAGAAATATATTAAATGTAGATAAAATCATTCAAAATTCACTTAAAGCAGATAATTTTTAAAAAGAGGGTGGTGGTGGTGTTACTAGAAAATTGCACTGCTTTAGTTTACGTCTTGTAGATCTGTACCAGGTGATCTGACTTTTCATTGTTAAATGAAATGAACACAAGACAACAGCATTTTATTTTGCATAAAATCTAGCATATGTTTGGATCAGGAATCATTCTTTGAAGCCATTAATCACCAAATTTTATTTGGCTTTTATCAATAATCTTTGTCAAGTGTTAACTTGTGTTAAATATTCACAAGTACATACACTATAGGAATTATCAAACATTAACAGTTAGGCCCACTCTTTGATCTTTTTCCTAGGCTTAAACTCACTCTTGGAAATTAAAGTTTTCTGATAATGTCTGCCTTCAGAGAGTTGTTTGACATCTAGATGGATTTGGGCTTTTCAAAATACAAGGTGGTGAAACAAATACTAGGAAAAAGAAAAGATACATTGTTTATAGTAGTTGTGCCAATGACCGTGAGAAATGGTGTGACTTAGAGATCATTTGGAATCTGAACTTGCTGAACATTGGAATTTCCCAGTATTATTTTCTTTAGTTTGCTTCCCATCTCTACTCATATTAGTAATTTATGGGCAAATCAGGAAAACTTGATGTTTGTTTATCCTAGAAAGTCGCATAAAATATTTTCATAAAATTCTTCTTTTGATGCCTCCCCCCCCCCCTTTTTTTTTTTCTTTTTTTAATAGCGCGTCAGCTGACTGTTCAGATGATGCAAAATCCTCAGATTCTTGCAGCCCTTCAAGAAAGACTTGATGGTCTGGTAGATACACCAACAGGATACATTGAAAGGTACAAGTTCTATCTTCTGTAATCACTGTTGTAGGTGTATCTGTGTTTTTAAGACCACCTAGGACTTATGTTTGTAACAATGGAAAGCTGATGTCCATTACTATGTAGTATTAGGATTGTTTGGAGTGTAACATTTGCTAAATACTAGAAATTTATAGTTAATCTTGTCTTCTAAGTTTATTTTGGTTTTAGCCCATAGGAAATAAAATAATTTTAATGATTCCAATATTTCTTGAGAGAATTGTTAGGAAAAATGCACAGAAATAGAAGAAATAAAGTTTTTGTTTTGTTTTGTTTTACTGGTGGTGTAAATCAGTAATAATAGCTTAAATATCTTATTCTGTTTCCACATTTGTTTGATACTTCATACTTTAAGCTCCATCCACATTACTATCTATATTTGTGTCTAGTCTGTACTTTATAACTGCTGCATAGTTCTCCAGTGTTCATGCACCATGTTTTATTATCTGTTATAACACACCTAGATTTCCTCCAAACGCCATCCCACAAATTCTGTTTTCAATGGATATCCTTGTGTGTCCTTTTGAGGAACTGTTAAGCTTTTCTTTGAGATATGTACTCAGCAATAGTATTGCTAAGTAAGGTATGCAAGCCTTATAGCTTGTTCACTAGAATGGTTCTATCTGCCATCCTTACGTCTCTGTCATCCAACTTTGTAGTTTACTAGTCTAATAGGTACAGATGCAGTCTGTTTCTAAGTTCATTTGATCTATCTGTCATTTAACTATGCTGTTAAGTGCTGTTGAGTTACTTCCAACTCACATTGGTCCTTTTTTTTTTTTTT